TCTGTATGTCCTGAAACTTGCTGTGTAGACCAGGCTGACTTAGAACTCTTCAGAGATCTGCCTGCCTCTGCCTCCTGGGTGCTGGGACTGAAAAAAAGTCCTGTGACACTACCTTGGCTTTATTTTGTCATTCTAATTACAGCCATTCTAGTAACTATGAAGTGGTATATCTACAGTGTTTGTCTGTTTGTTTTTTTGTAGTTCATGCTAGCTTGAGGAACTCACTATGTGAGAATCTACAATGCCTTAGCCTCCCAAATGCTGGGATCATAGGTAATCATCATCATGCCTGGTTCTGTATATCTTCTTTGGAGAAGCAGTCAAAAACCCATTAGTGATGAAAACAAACTGTTGTACATTCGCACCAAGAAATAAAACAGGAAAAAAAAAAGAAATAAGACAGAAATAAAAGCCCGTGTCTTTAGTCCCAGCACTTAGGAGGCAGAGAGAGGCAGGCAGATCTGAGCTAGTTCCAGGACAGCCAGGGCTACACAGAGACACCCTGTCTCAAAAAAGAAATGAGAGCTGGGCGTTGGTGGCGCACGCCTTTATTACCAGCACTCGGGAGGCAGAGGCAGGTGGATCTTTGTGAGTTCGAGGCCAGTTTAGGCTCCATAGCTACATAGAGAAACCCTGCCTTGAAAAACCAAAAAGAAAAAAGAAAAAGAAAAGAAAAAAAGAAATGATAGAGAGAGAGAGAGAGAAAAGAGGAACTGAAGAGATGGCTCAGTGGTTAAGAGCACTTGCTACTCTACAAAAAGCTCCAAGTTTAGTATGTTAGGTGACTCACTTGTAACTCTAACTCCAAGGGATCTGGTGCTGCCACGCCTCTGCAGCCACCCAATACATGGCAGACAGCCACACAGATATATACATACAAATAGATAAAAATAATGAATATAAATAAAAAAGAGACAAAAAGGAACCTACTGACAGCAGCAGATGAATCTATAGAGTATTATGCTAAGTAAAATAAGCTGATTAAATTTTTATTTATTTGTGTATTTATTTTAGTTTTCTCAAGACAGGGTTTCTCTGTGTAGCTTTGGAGCCTATCCTGGCATTTGCTCTGTAGACAAGGCTGGCCTTGAACTCACCAATGCCCGGCTTAAAATTTTCCCCCTTTTAAAATTACTTGTCTCTTTCTGTTCAAATTATAATTTAAAATATATATTTTGGATAACTTTTACCAGGCAGTGGTGGCACACACCTTTAGTCCCAGCACTCGGGAGGCAGAGGCAGGAGGATTTCTGTGAGTTCAAGGCCAACCTGGTCTACAAAGCAAGTTCCAGGATAACCAGGGCTATGCAGGGAAGCTCTGTTTCAAAAGAACACACACACACACACACACACACACACACACAGAGTGGTATAGATATATAGATATACACATATACTTTTTTTGACAACTTTCAAACTATGGTTTTGCTTCAGTTTTGGTATATGGACTAAACTCATGGCCTTGTTCATGCTAAGCATGGGCTCCACTACTGAGCTATCCCCAAGTCCCTTAGTTTAGATATGTTCTTTATTAGACATATGGTTCTTTGAGGCAGGGTTTCTCTGTGTCTCTTTGGAGCCTGTCCTGGAACTAGCTCTTATAGCCCATGCTGGTCTCAAACTCACAGAGATCCACCTGCCTCTGCCTCCTGAGTGCTGGGACTAAAGGCGTACGCCACTACCGCCTGGCCAAATATTTTTTTTAACCAGACATGTGGCACACACCTGTAATCCCAGCATTTAGGATATGGAAACCGGAGGATTATAAATTCAAAATCAACCTAAACTACATAATAAGACCCTCTCCCAAAAAAGCAAAAGATACCTAGGCAGTGGTGGCGAACAACTTTAATCCCAGAACTTGGGAGGTAGAGGCAGGCAAATCACTGAGTTTTAGGCCAGCCTGATCTATAGAGCAAGTTTCTGGACAGCCAGGACTACACAGAGAAATCCTATCTTTTATTTTTTTCTTTTTTTCTTGAGACAGGGTTTCTCTGTGAAGCTTTGGAGCCTATCCTGGCACTCACTCTGGAGACCAGGCTGGCCTGGAACTCAGAGATCCACCTGCCTCTGCCTCCCAAGTGCTGGGATTAAAGGCATGTGCCACCAACGCCCGGCCTGAGAAATCCTATCTTGAAAAACCAAAAAATAAAAATTAAATTAAAAAAACTAAAAATCAATTAGTAAATAAAAATTGTTTTTCTCAATTTGTGGGATATTACCCAACTTTAAGACTTACCATAAACCTATAGTAATCAAGGCAGTGTCATTGTGGCTAAACATAGACATGTAAATCAATGGGACAGAATAGTGTCCAGAAACTGTTTTATAAAAATATGGCTAATCTGAGCCGGGAAGTGGTGGCGCACGCCTTTAATCCCAGCACTCAGGAGGCAGAGGCAGGCAGATCTCTGTGAGTTCGAGACCAGCCTGGTCTACAAGAGCTAGTTCCAGGACAGCCTCTAAAGCCACAGGGAAACCCTGTCTTGAAAAAACAAAAACAAACAAGCAAACAAACAAAAAAATATGGCTAATCTGGGCCAGCAAGATGGCTCAGTGGGTAAAGGCACTTGCTGCCAAGCCTGATGACCCAGGTTCCATCCCTAGGATACACAAGGTAGAAGACAAGAACTGACTCTCAAAGCTGTGACACATGCACACACAATAATGTAATAAAAATATGGCTAATTAATGTTTACAATCATCTTGGCCAAGACCCAGAGAAGTGATGGTTAATTAGCATGGTGTAGGGAAACATAAGCCTGAGAATTAAATCCAGGGCCTCACACAAGCTAGGCGAGCACAAATCTGCAGCCTAGCCAATTAAGTTTTTACTGATCAGTGTGAGAAGTGAATTTAATAGAGATAGAGAACCTAGAGTCTTTGCCACAATAAACTGTGGAACAAATGTCCATGGCCAAAAAAAAAAAAAAAAAAAATTAACATAGGTCTAACCCTATGTTAACAAAAATTATCTAAAAATGAATCATCTATACAAACATAAAGCAAACTATGACTTTTAGAGAAAATATAGATAAAAACCTTTCCGTTTTGTGGTTAGGCAATGAATTCTTTCTTAAGCTAAGCATGGTGGCCCACACCTTTGATTCCAGCACTAGAGTAGAGGCAGGTTGGTCTCTGTGATCCAGCCTGATCTACATAGCAAGTTCCTGGATAGCCAAGGCTATATAGTGAGACGTTGTCTCAAAAACAAAAATTCTTTCTTCCACTTAATTTAATTTTGAGATAGGGTCTCGCTATATAGCCCGGGTTGATCTGGAACTCACTATTTAGACTAGGTTGTCCTGAGGCTTACTAAGATGCACCTGCCTCTGCTTTTTGAGTGCTGAGATCAAAGGCATGCACCACTAAACCCAGCCCAAAAGAGTGAGCTCTAAAATAGAAGCTTGATAAATTAAAACTTTATTAGGATGAACTGAGGGCTGGATGAGATGTCTCACTAAGTGGGTAGAGGCTTAGCACCAAGCTTACTAATGTGAGTTAGCAGCCTCCTGACTTCCACATGTGGCACGTGCATGCTTCTGCACACAAAATAAATAAATGATCAATGGAAAAAAATTAAAGGATGAAATGAAAAAGGAAAAAAACTAATAGAAGGTATTTGTGAACAGAATATCTGACAAAAAGAAATGTATCCAGATTGTGCACAGAATAACCAGAAACCACCAGCAAGAAAACACCTCAGTTCAAAAGTGGACTAAGTACTTGGACAATGAGGCTACCAAAGATAACATATGGGTGGCAAGTAGCCAGATGGAGAGATCTTCCACATCACTGGCCATCGGAGGAACATGATTCTCAGCCACAATGTTATTATACCACTATTTACCTGTCAAAACAGCCAAGATTCAAGAACTCTGGCAATGATACTCATAGTAAAGACACTCACGAAGACAGTTTGGCATTCCTTATAAGGTTAAAATATGCATTTTGCATACGCCAGCAATTTTACTCCTAGCTATAGCTGTGTCTACAGACACGGAGATAGAGACATAGAAACCTGTGTTCATGCATAGCCTTCCCTATGAATATTCAAAGCATCTTTATTTGTAATAACCTTACACAAGAAACAGCCCAAAAGTCCTTCAGTGAATGAAAGGGTAAACTGCTGCAGTATTCATACCATAAAATAAAGAGTAGCCAACTGCTGATACTGCAGAAGAAAGAAGCCAGTCTTAAAGGACAGAGTGCTGTATGATTCCAGTTATACACATTTTTGAGAAACATGGATTAGCATGGCTTAGGTTGGGAGCAAGAGGAAGATGAGACAGCAAATGGGTGGCTGTGGGGGTTTCTGGGATGGCAGGGCTATTCTTTATCCTGATTGTAACTTGGTTACATAAATCTGTATGTGTGTCATTTCAGAAGACAATGAGCAAATCAACTTCACTACATGTTAAGATAAACTAAAAGAATCATTTGTGTTTCTCCAGACACTGGTTGCTATGGAGGGCTATGGTGCAAATGGATGATTTTCTTTTGTTAATCTGTCACCTCCTGGTGGGAGCAGTTTTCCATACTCTTGCCTCCGTGCTGAGTGATAGGGACTACTACTTCCTTGGAGGAAAACCAAGAGTCGCAGGAACTAGGGGACAGGGTGGCACAAACAATTTGTGATTCTGAAATGAAGGACAGTGCAGATCTGGACACAGGAATGGCCTCCTGACATGGCTGGGCCCCTATCTCTCCTGGTCTCTGTGCAGGACTATGACCAACACCACCCTTAGCCGAAGGGGAGTGGGCAAGAGTGATAGCAATTGACCTCGAAATCCCACTGGGTCCTGTTTCCCGTTGTGGGTCACTGTGTCTGATAACAGGCCCCACCCTACAAGCCCCCTCCTCTCTCCCAACCAGTGGCCGCAGCCTGGCAGGGCCCCTGACTTTGTGTATATAAGGGGACACTGGAGACAGCACCATCAGGCCAACCCTGAGTGCTTTCAGCTCCAGCACAGCCTGCAGTCCTCACCACCACCACCACCATGTCTCTGATGAAGAGTGAGAGAGCCATCGTCATGTCCATGTGGGACAAGATGGCTTCCCAGACCGAGGCCATCGGCACCGAGACTCTGGAGAGGTAAGTCCAGGCACAGTCACTCCAGTCGGAAGCCAGGGATCAGTAAGAAGGGGGTGACAAGGAGGAGTTAGTGGGGAGAAGCCACTGAGAAAGGGCCATGAGGAGGGGGTGGTAAGGACGGGCAGTGAGGAAAACACGGTGATGAAGAGGGACTGGCCGTGAGAGCAATGCTTGTAAGGAGGGGAATCCAGGCGGGCTGATGAGAAGCTAGAGTAGGTGGATGGACATTCACAGCCCTCATCAAAGTCCTCCACATGGCTCCACAAGTCTTTGTTGAATGAATAGGAATGAATGGATGAACTCACCAGTGGATGCAATGCCTTGCCATATGGAGCCTGGTGCAATAGGAAATAGTAACATCAATCTTGGGTTTTGTTTTTTAAGATTGAGAGAGCGAGAGAGCAAGAGAGAGCGAGAGAGAGCGAGAGAGAGTGAGAGAGAGAGAGAGAGAGAGAGAGAGGGAGAGAGAGAGAGAGAGAGAGCGCACAGGTGCCAACGAAAGCTAGAGGCATCAGATCCCTTGCACCCTAGTTACAGGAGGTTGTAAGTTCCCTTCAAGGGCAGTCAGTGCTCTTAATCACTGAACCATCTCTCCAGCCCCTAGCTTTATTTCTTTAAACACTGTGTAAAATATTGTTTTGTTTTCTTTTTCTGTCTGGTAGGTCTTTGTGTACCCCTTAAGTTTTGAGCCCAAGGCAAGAGCCAGGGTCCTAGCCCACCACCTAATGAAACACCCACACCCACCCACCCACACACCCACCCCCACAAAAAAAAAAAAAACTAACGCTTTCTCCCGACCCCCAGGCTCTTCTGCAGCTACCCACAGACAAAGACCTACTTCCCGCACTTCGACCTGCACCACGGGTCGCAGCAATTGCGCGCCCATGGCTCCAAGATCTTGGCTGCTGTCGGCGAGGCCGTTAAGAACATCGACAACCTCTCGTGTGCTCTGACCAAGCTGAGTGAGCTGCATGCCTACATCCTGCGTGTGGACCCTGTCAACTTCAAGGTGGGTTTGTGAGAATGGAAGGGGAGATCATCAGGGAAGGACACAAAGGAGGAAATCGAGTGGGGTCTCCGCGGCACTGTGCACTGAATCTCCTCCCTTCTCGCCTCTGCAGCTCCTGTCCCACTGTCTGCTGGTCACCCTGGCCGCACGCTTCCCCGCCGACTTCACAGCTGAAGTCCACGAAGCCTGGGACAAGTTCATGACTATCCTGTCTTCCATCCTGACTGAGAAGTACCGCTAAGCCCCACCGCCACGACCCCCAAGACGGGCTACGACCCCTCTCCTCCCCTTCACTGAACCCTCCCTCGGGTCTTTTTTTGTAGCCCCCAATAAATGGTTGAAGATGGAAATAACTGGTCCTGTGTTCTCAGTCTTGGAGGGAAACCGGGATGGGGACGCTAGGGTATGGACAGGGCCTTCGCAGAAACATTGTGGGTCCTAGTGTCACACACTGCCTAGAAGACATTCCTAGGGTGGTTGGGGGAGGGTCTTGCCCTTGAGAACCCCAGAGTCAGAGCATCCCAGGGCCAGCTGGACTTCTCCTCGCCTTCCTAAATCTCTTCGAACAGAGTGGTGGGTGATCAGGAATTACCCGAAATTTGACATCACAGCTCCCTCCTCCCTAGCAGCTGGGGGAGGAGGTGTCCCTGTCTTTAAAAGAACAGAGGATTTCCTGGCCGATTCTTGCTGGCTCCATCCTGACAGAGCTGTAACTGCCTTCATAGGAGTAATTACAAGTTCCGGGAGTTCGAAACGAAGACATCCATACACAGGAGCAAGCGGAGCCTGTACCAGAAGCCCCATCCGCAGTTGTCGCTCTGGGCATATTTCTGTGCACAGGTGGAAGGGCTCTGCGTTCCTGTTGAGCTCAGCAGATCAGGGCAAGCTGGGTAGAGGAGCTCTGATGAAGAGGCCGGGCGTGTGCCCCCTTGAGTAATCCACGCCTGTGCCAAACTCAGCACCCGGGAGTGCGTCCACATTGTACCTCACCAACCACCACCAGGCACACTTTAGGGGCACAGCTGTTACTCGGATGGAAATGGCAGGGTCTCCAGGGCCTCTAGGAAGCATCCCAGGACCAGCCCACGCACGTTTTCGGTCAGATCTTAATCCTCCACCTTACCCTGTCAGGGATGTGGGGCACAGGGCTCACCCGAGGTTTCCCCTGTTTGAACATTGTTAGGGTTAGTGGGAGCCACATGGCTGCCCTGCCTGCTCCCTAACCAGCTGAGGCAAGCTATTCACACTAAACCCCAACACCAAGATTTCATGCAACTAAATAAATGTCAGAGAGGAGCTAAGCCACAGATTGCGCATGCTCACGCTATGTACTTGGTTGTGCAGCATCTGACACTCTCTGGTGCTTCGGGTGGGCCCTACCAACTTTCCTGTGAGCTTATCCAGCCTACATAAGGATCCAGAGCACATCTGGGCAAGTTCAACAGGAGTTACTGTGGCTGAATGGCTGACACGTCCCTCTTCCTAAAACTGCTACTCCAGTGTTTCAGGGTGCTACTGGTCTCCTCCCATCTGCAGGGTGAGTTCATTGTGGAGATGCAGGCAGAGGGGGACAAGTTGTGTGGTGCTGGTTGAAAGGTACTGCTAATGTTCTGGGCTCAATCTGTGCACATCCATTAACAGAGGCTTCAAAATGGTGTTTAACATTTTGGAAAACTAGACAGGTTACATCAGTATCCCTCAGAGAGTCCCCTAGAATTCTTAAATGTCCATTCAGGTTAGTCCTCCTATGCCCCTGGAGTGCCATGGGGCAGAAAGAGAGCTTGGATGGGAGCAGGGGAGTGTATTCTTTTCCAAGTCAAATCTGACACCAGGGCGTGTCATACCATCCCCAGAGCAGATATGCATTCGTTCTCCTTTCATCTCCCTTGTTGGGACTTCCAGCAGTCAATCCCCTGGACTTTTGCAAACAAATACAGAACCAAGCCCCTGGGATCAAGTGTATAACCTGAAGCCTGATCAAGTTGGGCAGGCCCAGGCTTCACTCCTGTTCCTTCCTAGCATGCTCTTTCTGCAACAATCCTTGACCTGTTACCTCTTTCCCTGAACCTCTCAACATGGGGAGAGATGGGGATTGTTGGTGGCCACAATGTGGCAGAGATCACATTGACAAGTTGGTTGATTCTGTGCATGTCTGAGCTACCAGGCAGACAAACATGAACTCACTAGGTTTTTCCAATTATTTTGAGATCACAGTGCATGGTAGATACCGGACAGTACCTCCCCACCCCATACTAGATACTTAAACTTCAGGGTGCTTTTCCACCAGATGCCCTCATCCAAGTCCTGTCTCCATACTCCCAGATTGACTGAAGGGCAAAAACCACAGGGCTCCTGTGGTTTGTTAGCAAAGAACAAAAGCTAAAGAGAGCAAGATCCTGGGGGCTGAAGAGGTGGCTCAGAGGTTAAGAGCACTGGCTGCTCTTCCAGAGGTCCTGAGTTCAATTCCCAGCAACCACATGGTGACTCACAACCATCCATTATGAGATCTGGTGCCTTCTTCTGGTGTGCAGATATACATGGAAGCACAATGTTGTATATATAATAAATAAAATCTTTAAAAAGAGAGAGAGAGAGCAAGATCCGGAAACTTTGTAAACAGTGACTACATATGGTCTCCAGAATGACACCCCATAATACAGGGAACACTAGACCTGCTCCGGCGTAATGCCAGATCTGAAAAGGGATGCCCTATCCATGGCTCCCTAAACTACCTCAGCAGGTGCTGAGGACCTGTTACCCTGAACAGCCTGAGCACTAGCTGACCAGAGAGAGGAGGGGAAGTTAACTACCTCTCAATTGCAACATGGACACAAAACAGCCTTAGTCCTTAGGAAAACATGATAGAAAATAGCATATAAGATTGCCTTGCTGGTGAATTGGATCAGCCAGTAAAGGCACTTGCCATGAAGCCTGAGGACCTAATTAAATCCCCAAGATGGATGTGGTGGAAGGAAAGAATGACTCCTACAAGTTGTTCTCTGACTTTCACATATGTGCCATAGCACAAGTATGTCTATGTGCATGCACTTGGGCACACACACACACATAATATACAAACAAACAAATGAATGTTATTTAAATTTTTAAATGTTGTACTCCTCTGCCCAAGTCAGTCTGAGTCTGAGCCACATAAGGAAGGATTTTGTATTTAGCAGCTTCTAGAAACTGTGTAAGAACCACAAGTTTACAGCATAAAGAGCCTGGCCTCTGCCTGCACAGTACTGGGAGACTTAAAGTGGCCATGAGAGTTGTGCCCTGACTCCTCCCACCTGCACTTTCTCCATGCAGTGCCTCCCCAGATAAATGAGCTCAGCAGCACTCACACCCTACTATAGCACACTACCTCATCCGTCTCCTGAACACTGTACATAAATGCACAGTACTCCCCAGACCCAGCAGCTCCGGTTCAGACACAGACTAAGAAAGCAACTGCCATGGTTCTCTCTGTTGATGATAAGGCCAACAGTGGGGCTATCTGGAGCAAGGTTAAAAGGCATAAGCCTGATTATTATTAGGAGACCCTGGAAAGACGAAGACTGTCCTGCCCTCTCCCCTGTTCTAACTCCTGGGTTGAACAATGAAAGCCACCCCTCGGTCCTGTCTCTAGTCCCTAACTGAAGTTTCCCCAGCCTTTCCCAATCCCCCTTACCCACCACCACCACTGCTTCTCTTCATAGGCTGTTCAATAGCTTCCTCAGGACCTACTTCCCTGACTACAACCAGAACCCTGCTTCTGTCCAGGTAAAGACCCAAGGCTCAACCCATGTGCTGAGCCATGCAGTGGACCAAATGAACAACTTCCCCATTCTCCTGGCAGCTCTGAGTGAACTGAGCTGTATGTGTCCCAGGCCAACTTCAAAGTCAGCAAGCAGGCAGGGCTCAGAAAGATAAAGGGTAGGAGGTCTCAGAACATGATATCAACCTCAACGATTCCAGAAAATGAAGCTAGGAGCTCTCCACTGCCTCTATGACAAATGATCAACAAGTACCTCATTCCATGGTATCTAATGACGCCAGCCTCCACTTAGATAAAATCACCCTAGAGGTGGCTTTTTGCTCTGGACAATTTTGGAAACACTGTTAAACCAGAACTGTGGTCCTCTTAGCCCTCCTTCCATTCCACACCTACATGCCCTGGTCTAAATAAAATCTGTCTGGGTGGTAACCTATGTGTCTGTGTCACTGACATGTCAGCAGTGACCATATTTCTGTCTTGGCCCAAGAACGTTTCTGCAGCTGCAATGAGGGTCAAGAGCCAGTGTGAACATCTGGAGAGAAGAGCTCTGAACCATTCCTATAGCCTGGGAAAACACAGCCTTCCTAGAGAGATTATCTCAGGATACTGAGGAGGAAAGCTCTGAGATATGCTGCCTCCTTAAAAATGTCATTGACCCATACCAGCTAAACATACAACACAGATCACAGCAGAACATGTCTTCAGGGTAGTGGTCCCAGTTACTATGGAAACTGAGGCAGGAGAATAACTAATTCAAGGCCAGGCACAGCTTGAAAAAAAACTAAGTAGGTGATTTGTTTGTGTGGTTTGGTTTTTCAAGATGGGGTTTCTCTGTGTAACAGCCCTAGATGGTCTTGGAACTCCATCTGTAGACCAGGCTAGCCTCAAACTGACAGAGATCTGCCTGCCTCTGCCACCCACGTACTGGGACTAAAGGCGTGAGCCACCACTGTCCAGCTAAGCTAGATGATTTAGTGCAAACTGTAACCCCAAAACTTGAGAGGTAGAAGCAGGAAGGTCATAAGTTCAAAATCAGTGTAGGAACAGAAAGGTGGGGTGCTTGTCCACCCTCATCCCAAGCCAAAAAAGTTGGAACCAAGCCCAGGAGTTTCCATTGACCACTGCCTCATGCTCTGTTTCGTCACAGATTTATTTTTGCAGTGCGGGGACTGAATCCAGAACCTTCCTCTGGGTAAACATTCTGTCATCCAGTTACACCCCCAGCTTTTGTTTTGTTTTGTTTTGTTTTTTGTTTTTCGAGACAGGGTTTCTCTGTGTAGCTTTGTAGCCTATCCTGGCACTCGCTCTGGAGACCAGGCTGGTCTCAAACTCACAGAGATCCTCCTGCCTCTGCCTCCCCAGAGCTGGGATTAAAGACATGCGCCAACAACATCCAGCCCACCCCCAGCTTCTTTACTACTGTTTGCTATTATTGGCAGAGGCTGAACTTGAATTCCTGGGCTCAAGCAATCCTCCTGCCTCAG